AACGTTTGCAGACTCCAAATTCTCCCAAGCCGTGGGAGGGGATCCCTGGCAGGCTTCGCTTCTCCTGATTTGAGAGGCTGAAAACCAGGGGCCCAAAATGTCTGTCGCTCCCAGCTGGCAGAGGACTTGCCCAGGGGAAAGCGATTGTGAGCAGGGAAAGGCCTTGGCCATCGCTGGCCACCCAGAGCCCGAGCTGCCCAGCCTTCCCAATCCCATCTGCTCAAAAGGGGCACCAGGGGAGGGGCTTGGGAAAGGGCCGGGCAGCATTTCGGGGAGGCGTTGGCACTTAGGATGGGAAGGGGCGCTTGGGCCACCCAGCCCAACCCCTGCTCAGAGCGGGCCTCCCAATTAAAGCAGCCCAGGCCGACGGCCATCATCGTGGGCTCTGCTGCCCACCTGCAGTTCCTGCAACTGAGCCTTGAAGCCAAAGCGGAAACACTCACAGCCTCTGGATCTTCTGCCCGCTGGTGAGTCCAGCCCCTTCCATAGTGAAGACGCAGCCGGTCAGGGGGATGGGGAGAGGGTTGGTCAGCGACAGCTCTGCCACCAGTTTGCGCTTCTGCATCGGCTCCCCCAAGACCTGCAAGTCGGAAAGAGGAGAAGCGTCATCCTCGGCTGGCATGAATCTGGATACCCAGTGGCTGCTTATGGCTGGGTTGGCGCCACCCGCATCCCTGTTGTCGGATAAAGGCCTTGCCGCTGCAGGCCAGCCCGGTTAAGCGTGTGGCACAAAGGCAGCAGGGGGATTTGACCTCCTATGACTGGAACCGGGGCAGGTGCTGCTTTGGGGGTGGGGGAGAGGCTCCATCCCAGGGAGACGCAGCGGGCACGCCTGCCGGAGGGCATCCGGGGAGCCCAGCTTTGCAGCAGGAGCTGCGCTCGCCCAGTGCCTGCTCCGGAGCAAGGCGAGGAGGCGAGATTGTGGGGAGAGGAGAGGACCCAAAGATGGGCCGCCTGCCCCCCTCCTGTCCCCCTGGCCATTCTTTCCTGGGTCTCAGGACGCTTGCTTGGCACAGAAAAGGGGCCCCAGGGGACAAGCCCCACCGTCCAGGGCCTCCCAGCCGCTAACTGGGAGGGCTCCGTGCCGTCCCAAGGGCTATTCTGGGGCAACGGGCCACGCCGCTTGCCCTTTCTCCCTCCTCGGCAAAGGGACCGTCCCCGCGGAGAGCCCCTCCCAGAAAGCCTCACCCGGATTTTGACGTCGGGGTTCTTGACGTGGATGTCCCTCATGCTGAGGAGGAGCTCCTGGGTCTCGTACTGCTGCAGCACAGCCGTCACCTTGATCATGTTGTCCTGGGTCAGGCAGCCTCCGTACTTCTCGTACAGAATGCGCAGGGGGACCACCTTTTCTGGAGAGGAGGACAGAAGCACAAGGACGGGGTGCTGTCAGAATCAGGGCTCTGCGGCTCCCCGGACTGAAGACACATGGAGCCCGGGGTCCGAGAGTGAGCGAGCAAGCGGAGGGGTCTTCTGCACAGCCCAGGCTGGGATGGTGGGCTTGCAAGCTGGCATGAGCAACAGGGGAGCCTCTTTCGAGCTGCAAGGATTTCACAGAGGTGTCCTTTTGGCCACAGAATGTGACTTGCCGCTGCCTGAATCTGGAACGCAAAGAGTGGTGGGACTTCCTGATGGCCTCCCATCCACGATTTAGCCCAGCTCATCCGTGCTCAGGGGCTAGCTCCTGCCATAACCGGCCACAAGCGGGTTAAGAAAAATGACAGCATTTGATGCGGAGCCTTCTGCCCTCAACTGGTGTCTCAAAATGATGTAATGGAAAGACTTTTATAAGAGTTGACTGAATCAGGTCTTCACGGTTTACCAACTGCAAGGGCAAGATTGCGTGCCTCCTCTCAGGAGCTCTGCAGATTTATTTACACAAGAGTAAGAAGGACTGGATCTTTTTTTAATGTAAAAATCAGTGAACCTCTTTCAGCCACCAGGATGGGGCTGACCTTTGTAGCTAGACCCATTTATTTATACTTGTAAAGTTGTCAGATAATACATTTGGAATGTATTTATTTTCCCCCCTTAGCTGCAGTTTTTCTTCCTGGCGGCGGCGGGCGGTGGGGTGGGGGAATGTAGAAGACTCCAAAAATCCCCATTCTCCAAATTTCAAGAAAGGCTACATTTCTGGCTGTGAGCCATAGGGAATTCTGGGAGCTGAAGTCCACCTCTCTTAAAGTTGCTAAGGCTGAGAAACACCGATCTAGACAGATGTCAGAATTTCAGTTTCGGTCCTCGTTGCAGCCACAGTCCCTCTAAGACAAGGATCAAAAGCTGCCCGTTTTCCTCAGCTCTTGCAGGGGTATCCCCTGGATATGGTCAAAAAAGTCGCGATGGTGGCCATGTCGGTACAATCAAAGCCTTAAGCGCACATAAAAGATAATGTCCCATCGCACATACAAATGGTGGAATTTCGACTGCATCGTCCTGGCTTTTTTCACCGTAGCCATTTAATTTAATTTATTCAGTTTAGTCACCGCCTGACTCCAAACCAACTCTGGGTGGTGTGTAATAAAACCGACGGACTAAAAATAGATGGCAAGAACTTGAAAAACAGAGAGAGAGAGAAACCCGGCGAGCCGATGGCAGAGCCGCGCAGGTCGACTCGAGTAAGCTACGCGGGGCTTCCTTCGGAGACCCGGCCCCGCGTCACGCGGCGTCTGACCCCGCTTGCCGAGGGAGAGCGGAGGAGCGGGGGGG